GGGGGGGTGGTGGGCGGGTCGAATTACCTTATTCTTTACACATTTATGCGTGCCATGGCCGTGAAGCTGCGGTGCGTTGGTGTGTGTCTTACGTGCGGTGTTCGTAGGAGACGAGAAGAGACAGACAGAGAAGAGAAGAGAGAGCGTCTTTGTGTGCGTGTGCGCGGTACAAGAGCTTGTGACGTTGCATTGCGTTGCACCAGGTAGGGTAGCCTTAGACAGACAGCAAATATCCATGACTGACACACTTGCCGACATGACATTGCAATGCACACGTCACATCCATGTCATGTCCGATCAATCAATTGCATGTCCTCCCTCCCTCGGTCGTCAACACAAACCCGACAGACAGATACACTGCACACCAGCTGGGCCCAGCTGGCCCCTACCTACCTAGAGCATCCACCTACTCCTCTCCCTCTGCGCCTCTGCTCTCCTCTCGTCCACCCGCACCAGAGAGGGAGGCAGCGAACTCAGCACCGGACACCGCTCGAGACCAGTCTTCGGACACTGCCGCGTCGGGTCATTATCCCCTCTGTCGTCTCTCTGGTAGTAGTAACCCACCGGACGCCCAGGTCGCTCCGGCGCATACCTAGTGTCTCTGGTGTTGGCATATCTGGTGTCGTCCCCTGTGTGTGTGGTGCGGCAGTAGGACTGTGATGCGGAGGCTGCGGCTGCTGCGGCTGCAGTGGTGGAAGGGGGTTGTGGTCGGGGAGGGGGAGGGGGAGGGGGAGGAGTCAGCAAGGGGTCGCTGTGGTAGAATGGGTTGGCGATGAGGTCAATGGGCGATCGGTCGTCTGCAAGGCCTCTCAGGTCGTCCCAATCCATGCGGCTCAGGGCGTCTTGCAGAGATGCTGAAAAACAACACGTCTGTCTGTCTGTGTGTGTGTGTGTGTGTGTGGATCCCCCACTCCCCTCCCCCCTCCCGTAGGCCCATACATATTTTGATCTGCTGTATCCGTTCGTTTCGTTGTGTCCTGTCGTGTATCTCGTTGATCATCCGCTTCATGTCGGCGTTCTGCGCCTCCAACTCAGCGACCACAGACTTGGTGTCCTCATACTGCCGACCGCACCGCCACCACACACACGTGTGACACACACATGACATGTGTCCATACAGAACTAACTGCGTGAAAGCCTTACAGCCAATCTATCTCACCTTGTCTGTCCTCAAGTCGAAGAATCCCGCCACAGGGGAGCCAATCTCTGTCGGCGCCGTCTCTCGTCGAAGCTCAAGGTACTCCAACACCGTCTCGACATGATTGCGCGTCAGGCCATGGATCTGACAGGACAGCAAAGGCGAGAGGCTGGGGTGATGGCGACAGGAGTGTTCCTGCCATTGGATTGGTGCAGTCAGTGGTTACGGCGTGTTGCATCTCGTGGTGTTCTGCGAAGAGCTGCCGGATCTCCTGTGTGGTCTGCGGAAACCACTCCTGCGACACCTGGCTCTTCCTTTGGCCCTCCTCCACCAGCTGCACCAGATGGTCAACCAAACTTCTCAATGTCTCCCTGACACAGAAAGGGGTAAAAGAACGCATCGTCTGTGGGTCGGTGCTATGCTGGTGGATTGGCTGGCACACACATTTTGCCGGTGGGGGCGTTGGTGGGTGTGGGAGTGGGTATGGCGAAGATGCCGTCCACCAGCTCTTTGAGCGGTGCGATATCGACGTTGATGCTGCGGCCCGCTGAGTTCTTGTTGCTGCCAAACCGGGCCTGGTGGACGCACCACACCGACACACAAGAAGCTACGGCCAGGTCGTGGTGCCGTCCTCCCAGGTGCCCCTTGTCACACCTGCTCATTCTCCATGATCGAGGCAATCCTCTCTGTGAGAGTTACCACCTGACCTCTGAACACAAACAGCCAAAAGAAAAAAAAGCGACTCGACTCCGATAGCTGTCATCCATCCAATCCATGGCCGGCTGTGTTGTGTCTCCTGCTTGTCCTTTCCTCACTCACCGGACAGCGGCGTTCTCAGCGCGGACGAGGTCGATCCTCTGGAGCAGCTCCGGAATGGACGGCTGCCTCTGCCTGCCGCCCCCCGCGTCGTCTCTGTTGGCGTTGAGCGTGCGGTATGTGGCGAACTCCAGCAGAGGCCCTCTCATCTGTCCCTCCAGCTGCCGCAGCCTGTAGTGGTGCTGCGACCGGAGACGCTCCACATTCACGCGGCACGACTCGAGGTGCTTCAACGCACCCTGAGAGAGGAGACGCGAAGGCATTTATATATGGGAGGGCCAGAAGTGTGTGTGAGAGAGGGAGAAGTGCCTGTTCTCACCGCGTATGTGCGACAGAGCTTCTCCAGCTCTTCTGACGGGCATGAGCTGGATCCTTCTCCCGGTTCCTCTGCTCGTGCCACTGGTGGAGCCTGCTTCTTGTCCTCTCCATCTGCCCTTCTCTCGTCCCTCTTTCTCCTCTCAGCCCCTTGGAGCCCGCCCTTGGGCGGCGCTTTGCTCCTTCGCTCTCTGCTGGGGGGACTCTTGGGCGCAATAGTGAAGAAACTCCGCATCTGGTCCATCTTTGCTGGCTTAGCTTGCAGCCATCGATCTTGTCCAAATCGATGGCGAGGAAGATCCTGGACGCCTGGGGCCCCGCTGATGGCGAGCGGCGAGCGGAATGCCATCAATCTGACCACCACCGTGCCGGCCATCCCCCGGTAGCACGCTGTCTGCACTGAGAAGGACGCTCTGAGTGATGCCATCTTGTGTTGTGGACGGATGGGATGGACGTAGGCGGTGTGAGCTGATCCGCGCCTTGCCTGCATTCTTTTGAGCAAGGCCATCGTCATCTCCTGCCTGCCGCATCGCCCGAATCTTGCCCACGCCTCCCACTCTCTCACCGAGACTCACCCTGAGATGGCGTCCAAGCGCTCTCACTCGAGGATGGAGGCCACGGGCAGTTCGTCGAGCCGGCAGGAGGCATCAGGCGGCGCCCGGCTGCCCCTTGCCATCGCACCCAGGGGTTCCGACGAGCTGCAGCCGTCCGTGAAGGATGATCTCTTCCAGGAGGTGTCGGAGTCTGACTCGCTGATTCAATTTGAAGCTTGTTTGAGCGATGAGCTAGTGCCCTCGGAGCCGCCGCACCCGAAGAAGCTGTTCCGATGGTCACACACTGACAACACAAGCCACGCGATGGGCACACCCACAGAAGGGAGGGAAGATCCACCGTCTTTCGTCTGTGTCCTTTCCTTCTCAATGGCTTGCAGGACATCCGAGATGGTTGACCACTCGCACTTCATACGTCACCTGAAGCACCCCTCCCCCACCCTGCTGGCCCGCCTGCCGCCGTTCCCCACCCCCTTTCTGCACAAGGGCACACTCAGGCGGCAGATCGTGCCCGTCACCAAAGACGAGAACCCTCCGCCGCCCAACAACCACACCAGGGCACGCGCACGCGACGGCCGCTACATCCCCATGGATGGTGGCAATGGCAACAACGGCGGCGGGGTTGAAGGGGGAGGGGGAGGGGCCGGAGCTGTCAGGCGGGATAGGAGAGGGGGCGGAGGGAACAAGAGACATAGGAGGGAGGGGGAGAACCGGGGCAATCGGGGGAATTCAGGCGCCGTCCATCAGCCGCAGCCGCAGCAGCTCGGGGGCGGCGGCGGCGGCCAGAGGCGGAGCATCTGCGTGTGTGGGCGGCGTGTGCAGTCCTTGTCGATTCGCTGCGATGAGTGCCGCGTGTGGCACCACCCGGCCTGTGCAGAAGTGGCTCCCAAGGGTACGGTCGGTACACACATAAGAACGATGGATGATAGCAGAGAGAGACACGACGGACGAGTTTGTGGTGGAGTGCCTGCCTCTTTTAATTAATTAATTGTGGTGCAGAGATCCGTCGCTGGCCTCGCGCTCGAGCGTTCTTCTGCCCCCAGTGCCGCGAGGGCGACGACCCGACCAAGAAGAAGGTCAGCAAGGCGCTCAGCGAAGAGAACGACGACTCTGACAACATGATTGTGGAGAAGGACAAGGAGGGAGACAACAACCAGGGCACGCCAGACATGCAGAGCGACCAGTGAGTGATATAGCAGCGTTGTAGCAGCACACGAACGGACTCCGAATTCGTTGGGACCTGTCTCTCATCCGGACGGACGGACTGACAGACCGACTGCGGTCCACTGAAGTCGTTGAATTCTCTACTGTATTCAGATTATTTGATTGAGCCTATCATAGCATTAAAGTCTCGCCATCCGACACGCAACCTGTCTTTCTGTCTGGCTGGCTGGCCGAGAATGTGCCACATCACGCCAGGCCAGGCCCGCCGTTAGATACAAACTCACCAATACAACCAACCAAGGAAGGAATGGATGAGTACGATGCGATAGGGACACTGATAGGCAGCACACAGCACCAACTATGCCACGCCACGCCACGCACACGGCACAGCAGACAAACAGCCAGGCCAGCCCAGGGCAGCCAGCCAGGCAGGCGAATTGGTCAGTCACATACGGACGGACGGGGACGGGACGCACCTCACACCCATCTATGCGATGCGCGAATTGACCGTCTGCCTGCCTGTGGAGGGAGGGGAGGGAGGGTATACGTACGTATGTGTGCGTGTATGTATGCCTCTGTGTCCGCCCAGCCAGCCCATGCGTGTTGTGTGTCCATCCTAGAGCTCTACACCCACCCATCGCCCGGCTGACTGCAGCTGGCGGTTCATCTCATCCGTCGTACTCGTCGTCGTCGTCAGTGGGGATGTCGGCCTCCGCCTCGGGGACATAGTCCTCCTGCACACACACAGACGTGACGTACGCAGAGGAGTTTGCTAGGTGGGCTATTACGTATTCGTCGTCCATGGCTCCGCCCTGTGGGTTGTCGCCGCTCGGACGACCGTTCAAATCGCCGCTCATCGACTTCAACCTACACACACACACGTACACACACACACACAAGGTGTTCTCAAGGCGTGTGCCGGCCTGTGTGTGTGGTAGACACATACTTTTTCTGTTGTATCTTCTTGGCGGCGGCGCGCTGGTCCTCATCCTCATCCTCGCTCTCCTCCTCCTCGCCATACGCACCTGCAATGCAAGCCACACACGAATCGCATCGACCCACACAACACAACACCACACCACGTCAGGTCAGGTGTGCGCCGCTTGGCCGCCCTCACTTCCACGCCCACGCACCGAGCATCTGTTGGAAGAGTGTGGGCTCGCTGTCGAGCGCCTCGTCCTCAGGATGCACGTAGACGCTGCGCTTCACCTCACTGTCACCGAACACTGCACACACACACACATCCATCCATCCACGACACAAGGGGCATGGTGGCGACCCACCCACCCACCCACCCACCCTTGTATT